ACAGCCTTAATCATTTAAAAGCATATGGTTAAAAAAAATATATTAAATAATTTAAAATATCTCAGCATTTTATATATATTAAAAAATGATCGTCTTTGTTGCATAGCTTAGACCCTACCTAGTATATATGTATGTAGCTTGAACTAACAGGGCTCGATCTTGGATCCTGCTGCAAATGGCAAATAAATGAGCTTCAACTGCATAGTTAAAGGATCCTTAGCCTCAGAGGAAGACCATGCTGGAGCCACAGGCTCCTGCCCTGAGCCCAGCCAGAGCCACCCCAGGCAGGGCTGGCCCTGCCAGTCCCCACCATGGCTCTGCAGCTCCCTCCACCCTCTCCCGCTCTGTGCCCATCGCTCAGCGCCGCTCGGGAGCAGGTACCACGTGCTGAGTCCCGCACAGGATCCCTGGGCGGCCCTTCCAGAGGTGGAGAGGAGGGTTCCTGTGCAGGAGCCCCTCTGCTCGCATGTTCAGGTTTCTCTCCTAAAAAGGTGTGCGAGAACCACTGAAGAGAAAAACAGATACGAGCAAACTCTCATGCTGTATATACTGATGCTACACTTTCTTTCCATTCAGTAACTCCTTCCATTAAATCTTTTACCATATATGAACTACTTCTTAGGGCTTGTGTTTTTAACCATTTCTCACAGCATTTGCCGGTGTCACTCGCGCTCCTAGACTGCTCCCTCAGCGTCGCAGCTCTTTCTGAAACGGACTTTGCTCAGCAGTAAAGCAGAGAGGTGACCTCTCCAAGGCTTTGGGGAGAGGAGACGAGGAAAAGCAATCAAAGGGGGCCCAAAGCGATCCCTCATCTCCTTTTTCAGCCGCTTTCTGCTATGATAAAAATCCAGGCTGTTGACATGACCGTTTATATGAGCATGGAAGTGATGAAGGCATTACCACTGTTGGGCTGTGGGTCTTTCCACAGGAGTCAGGCAGGAGGAGCAGGATGATTAGAAATGGAAAAAGACCCTTGCAGATCAGCTGTGGCAGATGAAAAGGCAGGACAAGAGGATAAACAAAGTGTAATTATGGAAGCGATACCATCCCCAACTTTCAGGAAGGTCTGCTTTTTACTTTAAGTTAGATGAACAGTATATATTTCCAAAGCTTTGAACCTGATCATTAAGTCAGAGCAAAAAGGAAAGAATGCTAAATCCCTAAGAAATATTTGGAGAAAATGAAATACAGTGATTCTTTGGTCTCAGAACACTTGAAGAATTTATTTTATTGCAGCACCGAACCTTTTGGAAATAAAGATCCTGTTATAAAGTGCATGTGTAATCATAACAAGTCAGATTCAGAGATCACAATTCAGTTTTAGCACAGGCCAAATTGATTTCAAAATAAGCTTGTCTGGGCATAGTGAACTTGTAAAGACTACAGGATTCATAGTATTTGTGCTGTGTGATCGTAACAAACTAGTTGTGAACGAAAGCTTCATTTTTTTTCCTGATGTGAAAACATGCTTTTTATCCCTAACTTTGCATCATTCCCAGTCTCCTTCTAAAAAGATCTGTGTAAGGGAAAGGGTTTTATAATTGTTATAAAAATTGCTATTAGTTATGCAGGTTTGAGGACTTGGAATTTTGTTTTGTCTAGAAATATTAGGCTCATACAAGCTTCCTGTATCTTTTTTCTTTAGAATCTGAATCAACGTGAACGTGGAGAGAATTCAGAAAAGCTTCATTTTTTTCCTGATGTGAAAACATGCTTTTTATCCCTAACTTTGCATCATTCCCAGTCTCCTTCTAAAAAGATCTGTGTAAGGGAAAGGGTTTTATAATTGTTATAAAAATTGCTATTAGTTATGCAGGTTTGAGGACTTGGAATTTTGTTTTGTCTAGAAATATTAGGCTCATACAAGCTTCCTGTATCTTTTTTCTTTAGAATCTGAATCAACCATTCGTGTGTGAAAATGTACACACATCCAGTGAGGCTCTTACTGTAGCTAACAACCTACAGGGAAGTTGTTATCCCTGTATATGTACATGTCCTGTGCTACCTTGCTCAAGTTCACTTTCCTCAAGTGAAGAAAAATCAGTTACTCAGGTACTTACACTGTACTCTTCTAATATTTTTAGTAACGAGAAGGCATTCAACTTATACACATACAGGACCATATGAAAAACTAAGTAAGAGAGTTCTTAAAGTCCTGTTCTTTCACGTGATATCTGTAAAAAAGACTGGTTGTATTGCTACACTTCTGGCCAGTGCATAAAACAGTAAGAATATTTACTGTTGGAGATATGTCACATCATTACTGCTTCTTCCCCTGTTGAACTAGGTCTGCACACCCCAGCTGCTTTCTTCAGAGCCTGTGACTGGGCCAGTTTTTCATGCTCACGTTCAGCACAGCTGATCTCCTCACACACAGGTTCCCTCCTAGCACCAAAACTGACTGTGCCCAGCTTGAATCTTCAGAAACAAAGAATACGTTTGCACTTCCCAGCAATATATGCCTATTCCCCACACCAGTCTGTGAGCTCTGGGGGAAAAGAGAAGCTGGGAAGAGGCTGCTGGTGCCAGAACATTTTCTGAAGCTTGGACTAAACCATCTTTTTTCGCCTCGGGGTTTCCTTGGGTAGGGACAGCAAGCAGGAAGGGCTGGTTGGAGAGTCTTGGAGGCAGCAACCCACTTCCTGGCTGGTCACCAGCCTTCAGGTTCCTCTAAAGCCCGGCTCAGCCCTCAGAAACAGTTTATTGGGACTGTGCCAAGGAAAAAGATAAGCTAAAGTCAGAAGCTTGCTTCAGAAGAGAGAGTCAGAGGGAATGAAGCCACAGGCTAGCTGGCTGGTCCTCGTGGGCCTTAGAAGTATCCATTGTCACAGAGAACACTCTTTATAACAGCCCTACGTACAAGGCAACCAGCCTCTTGGACCAGGCTTCCTTTGGACTGCAGGAATAGCACTGTATGTCTACTCATGCTCTGAAACCCAGGCAGGAATGGGATTAATACATATCACCTTTCTTCTGCTCCAACATAGCTGGCAGCTTTGCCACAATTTAATTTCCAGAATGGAAAAAAAAAATAAATATAAAGATTGTTGTTAGCTAGTAAGAGCTGCCTAATGAAGTATCAGACATTATTGAATTTATTTGATTTAAAAAATACTAGAAAACTGTAAGTCCATCAGGCCTCACTCTACTGGTCAGCTTGCTCTGTCTTTTCTATAAGCCACTTCCTTTTCTAAGGCATAGTCCAACTGATTCATGAATCTCCCTGAGAAATGAAGGTAACTCACTTTGGAGAATGGCATCAACAAAGTCTGTGAGAAGCAGTTAACACAAGCCATGTGTTCCCCTATCTCAGCGACAGTTAAAGTCTATAATTTCACACTCCCATTTAGAGGGAAAACAAAAACAAAACTCTGTGCCCTTTGGCCACTGTAATTCAGAAATGTCTGTCTCTTTGACCTGGAAATGCCACCGGGGAAAGCTGAGTGTGTCAGTGCCAGCACTTCACAGAGAAGGAAAGCAACAGGTAGCTCAAAGGGCAGCACAGGCTGCCTACAGGCTTTTGAAACCAGGGACTCTTGAATTTGCTAGTGAATATGAGGCAGATACCTCTTGTGATTTTGCCCCACTTCTGTCTCACCTGAGAAAAGGGGAGCAGTGAGATGGTCAAGGAGCCCATACTAGTGGAGTTCAAGGGCAATGGGAAGCAAGGAAGCCTTGCCACCACTAAAGCAATTTTTCCTTTATGCATCCAACCACTTCAGTTTTGATCACCACTTGCCCTTTTTAGGGTGCAAAGTTCTGGTTCCCTGACAAGCAGAACCACTGTACAGCAAATCAGGTCAAACACTGTGGGTAGCTCAAGAATTGTATATTTGACAAATGGATAATCGTGAACACTGTTCCTGTCTCACTAAGGCCAGAGACCTGTGCATTTTGGATCTGTGGCCCCAGTCCATCCTGGCCTTCATGCTGAGAAAGAATAAAGGATGTGAACATGGCTTTTTCTTTTGTCAAGAAAATAGAAAAGTGCCACTCTTGAAAAAAACACCACCACCACCTCCCAGCTAATTCATTCTTTCTTAACTTTTTCATGCTTTAGTGATCAAATCATTAAACAGCCCTCATTATTCATTCCAACTTCTGCCAGGGATATGAGCTCTGTATCAGAGAAACACCCCCTCACCATCATAATCATCATCATGACATCTCAGCAAGTTGATACAATTATGCCAGAGAACCATCCCCATAATTATACAGTTCTTTATCTCATTTCTCAATGTATTCAGCATTACTATAACCACAGCAAGTACAGTGTGTTAAATTAAGAACAGGATCTACAGCTAACATCTCACAGGATGAAGAGTCTGCCTGCTGCAATTCTGCAATTCCTTACAATCTAACTGCAAACCTCTCAAAGCAGAGGCTCATACTTTAGTATTTCTTTGTTTCTGAAAAAAAAAAATTATATTTACAACTAATTTTAAAATGCAGATGAAGAATGGCATTTTACAGAGGAAGAAAGGGCAGACTTCATTCCCACTTAATTTCCAAAGTATTGCCAAAGAATTGGCAGGGCTTGGAACTCTCTCCCTAACTAGCTGTTAGGTGCAGATTTGTTATATGTACGGTACAAATAGTCACAGAGCACTGTCACAGAAGCATTTTTGCCTTTCAGCTAGCAGTAATCACAAAGACAGTTTAGGCAGGTGAAGTCTTAGCAGATACTGATGTTTATTTGCCACGAGATGCTTTACATAATGAGTCTATCATTACTGTAATAAAATGTTTTGGTTAAACTATGATACGGGAAAACAACAGGCAAAGAAGTAGTTTTCTAGAGAGAGAACTTTCACAAAAGACAAACTGAGGAGGGGATGAGGTAAAGGAAGGTTAGAAAAGGAGAATCAGAAAAATTTAAAAACCAAGTAGGAAGCTTAGGGAACTTGATGCCTGTGGGAACGGTAACAGAATCCTCTTTAAGAGAATGCAAGCAGACATACTAACAAGTTCTTCCTGTCTATTTCCATTTACCAAACCAGGCACAGCCAAGAAAATGTTGCACTTTGAGATTTCGAAGGAAGGTAGTGAATTATCGGTGGTGGAACATGCTGAAGTGTGGCTCTTCCTGAAGGTCTCCAAGGCCAACCGGAGCAGGACAAAAGTCACCATCCGTCTGTTTCAACAGCAGCGGCAGCCGAAAGGCAACTCTGAAGGAGCAGAAGATACGGACGATGGGGGGCTGAAAGGTGAAAGGAGTGAGACTTTGATTTCAGAAAAGGCAGTGGACACTCGTAAGAGCACTTGGCACATCTTTCCTGTCTCTAGCAGCGTCCAGAGACTCTTGGACCAAGGCAAGAGCTCTTTGGATGTGCGGATTGCTTGTGACCTGTGCCAAGAGACTGGAGCCAGCTTGGTGCTACTGGGAAAGAAGAAGAAGAAAGAAGATGATGCGGAAGGGAAAGAAAAGGAAGCTGGAGAATTCACAGGAGAAGAGGAGAAGGAGCAATCCCATCGGCCCTTCCTGATGATGCTTGCCCGGCACTCAGAAGACCGCCAGCACAGGCGGCGGAGACGAGGCCTGGAGTGTGATGGCAAAGTCAACATCTGCTGTAAGAAGCAGTTCTTTGTCAGCTTCAAGGACATAGGCTGGAGTGACTGGATCATTGCACCTACAGGTTATCACGCCAACTACTGCGAAGGAGAGTGCCCCAGCCACATAGCAGGCACATCTGGTTCATCATTATCTTTCCACTCCACTGTCATCAACCATTACCGCATGCGGGGCCACAGCCCCTTTGCCAACCTTAAGTCGTGTTGTGTGCCCACCAAGCTGCGGCCCATGTCCATGCTCTACTATGATGATGGCCAGAACATCATTAAGAAGGACATACAGAATATGATTGTGGAGGAGTGTGGCTGTTCATAGACACGTGTGTGTGAAAGACCCTTCTCTTTCAGTTGAGAAGAAAATGTATCAAAAGCCCAAGAAGACTGGACACAGTATAACCTTTTTTGAGTGAGAAAGTCATTGGAAATAAGAGCAAAAAGAAAAAAAGAGTGAGGAAAGATAAAAAAAACCCCACAAACCAACAGACTTACGGAGGGTGAGAAAAGACTTTAGCTATAAAAAGGAAGAAAGCTTCAGGAACCAGGGCTTGAATGAGATACATCTGAATGGCGGTATGGGTTGGGGTGTTCCCCTTCCTTTCAGTATGCTCCTTATCTTATTACCTAGTATATTAAACATTAGTTATTACTAGGGGAGTTATGTTCCCTCCCTTAGTTACCCATCAGTTCAAGCCATGGTAGCAGCCCATCTAACCTGCAGCAATTTGGACTAAGTCCAAAATGTCATTCCAATTCCTTGAATAGCCATGTGTATGAACACTACATTCACTGGCACTTTCCCCCCAGATTTACCGAGGAACTGAGTAGGTGTGTAGTGTTTGTGTGTGTATACAACTGGCTATGTATGCACGTACATATCTCCATACATACAGACACTAAACACGTACATATACTTCAATTGGTAAAGGGACAGTATCGTGCAGGTGTACACACCTTCATCTTCTGCACTACATTTACAAAACAAAACAAAAAAGGAAAAAAAGAAAAGAAAGAAAAAAGAAAAAAAAGAAAAAAGGAAAAAAGAAAAATGAAGAAAAAAACAGAATTAAAAAAGAGAATGAATGAAAGAATAAAAGTCACATTTTGTAAAGGTGCTTACAACGTTAGAACTATGCAACCTAGTTGGTTTGAAACTGTTTACCTGCGAGAGAAAGAAAAACAAAAAAGCAAAAGAGAAAGACTTTTTTAAAATGGAAATAACTTGTTTTAAAAAAAAATTCTTCAGTGAGAGATACTTGAAAGGAATATGTTTGTCCAGTTACTGGAGCCAAACATTTCTATATTTTGTAAAAGTAATTTTTAATCGTTTACTATTTGCACTACAATGGTGTCTGACCTGTCTAATCCTTATTTAACAAATATTTGCAAGGGAGGGTGGTTGGGTGTGGGAGGGGTTGAGAGCTGCACTTATTGTGAGCTATACAAGAACTGCTACAGCACACAAAATAGCTATTTTTATTATTATAATAATTATTATTATTTTGTACCTTAAAATGAATAGACACATACACCAAAGACATTTGTGCGAGCCTCTAAAAAGTCTGTTTGTGGTTGGTACCATTCACCTGTAATGAGTTAGGGTTTGAATTAAGGGTAAGTGAGTTGATTACATTCAGGCTAGGATATCTGTTAACCAGTAAAATTCAAATAGTGCCCTCAGCAGAGACTTGCCATTTGAAGTAAGACCAGAAAAGCCCTGGGATTTGGATCCAAGGTGCTCGGATCTAAGGTCCATCCAAGCATAACTGTACTCTTTTGCATGTACAACACTAAGAATTGTCCCTGATGCACAGTAGCTGTGCATTTTTTGGGAAAGAATCAAAACAAAACAACTTTAGACAACGGATATACATATATATATATGTATATATTTCTGTATGTATATATGTATGTATACACAAGGTATAAGCACTTCTGGCTTCACTTTAATGTTCTTCATGCAATGAATGTTTGTGTGCAAAGCACAGTATGTTATAAGATTGTTTGTACTACGAAGTGGGAGGCTACATGTTCAAAATGGTATTTGTGTGAGAGAAACCTAAAGAGCTGATGTACATTTTGCAAGTATTGATGTAAAATTGCAAGCAGCTTTGGGCCCTGCCCACCATTGCCCCTGCGAATATACAGAAAATGGCAGTTGTGGTAGGATTTCTGTTTGAAATGCAGTTTTCAGTGAAAGACTGGCTATCTCAACCACCACCCTCTAGCATGGCAACTCTTAATGGGTTTGTGCGTTACCTGTAAGACCTAATTTTCAGTGTCAACACCTAACCTGAAGGGTCCAACCCGTAGGGCATAGGTAGATAATTTAAAAAGAAAAATAATAAAAAATCTATTGAATATTTAAGAGAATGTTAAAGTTGCAACATTTGTCTTTGAGTAGGGGGAGATGAGAAGAAGGAATGGGAGAAAACTTTAGGCCCTGTTTACACTGAGTTTGATAACCCTGAGCCTGAAGCTTCAGACTCTCACAGGTTTGCAGGACCAAGCCCCTGTTGGCCACCTTCTGATGGGACAGGCTTTGAAACGCCCCTAACAGAAAGAAGCACTAACATGACTCCCCACCTTCTTGAGAGAACAGTCTTTAAAAAAAAAAAAAAAAAAAAAAAAAAAAAAAAAAAAAAAAAAAAAAAAAAAAAAAAAAAAAAAAAAAAAAAGAAAAAAAAAAAAAAGAAAGCACAACTTAACCCTGTCACAATGGCTAGGGATAGCGTGTTAGCACCTTCATGGCGACAACCATGTTTAAACAGTGTAATCAGGGCCTTCATTTTTTTTTTTTTGTCAGCCAAAACTGTTTGTGTGTGCATGTGTGCGTGGCTGTTCTGTGTGTGTGTGCATATGGGTGTGTGCCCGGGTGCATGTCTGTATTTGTATGCATCAATAGAGATTTAAAAGAAAAAGGAAAAAAAAAAAAAAAGGGAAAAAAATGAAGAAAAGAAAAAAAAAAAACAAACCACCCTTTCCTCCGTTGAATAGATATCAACATACATGCTTTTAGCTAAGTTTTCTATCTAATTTATTCCACAGTATTTAGATTGCATAGTACAGCTAATGGGTTATACATTTATGTACTTTTTATACAATGCATTTTTTTTACAGACTTGTTTGAAATTGGAAAAAAATAATTAAAAAATCTAACAATTGGGTAAACACTAAATTTGTCAGTAAAGTATTCTGTAAAATATCAAGGCTTTCTAATTTAAATTATTTGCAGAAGTTTGTTGGGTTTTTGTGTTTTCTTCTTGGGGAAAGGGAGGGATACCAAATGTTAGTAGGAAAATAAAATAAAATTTAAAAAAATGCACAACTAATTTATGTTTATAACTTAAACAAACCATGTAACTGACTCTGCTTCACTTGAAGCAGGTGGCAGAATTACTGTTGATTTTCTAGAAGCAGAGCCAGGCTCTGGAACAGCAGGAGCAGGGACACAATCTGTGATAGTTGTTGAGGAGAATACCTTTTATTTCACTAGGCTTTAGACTTGGCCTTAAAGTTGGATGCATATTGTCCCAGAACTCTTAAGCATGTAAACATGTCTACTGGTCTTCTTACAAGAGTAGTAAAACTACTTACATGAGTAAAGGTAAGCCAGGGTGAATCACAGGTTATTTTTACTGTGGGCAGTGTGAAGGGAGAGAAAGGGTATTGAATGAATGGCACCATATCCGACATTGTTTAATTCAATTATTTAAACCAATCTGCTTGCATCATGGTTAATCTCTGAATGTAGTGGCAAGGGAAGCAGGTGAGATGGCTCACGTTTGTAAAAAATACTCTCAAGTGTGAGTAGTTAAGAGACCTTTCCCTAAAAAAACAATGGCAAAACTCCCACTTACTGCAAACAGAGTAAATTTAGACTCATGGTTTTCCTGGCCAAAGCAGAAATAGCCTTTAAAAAGAAGTCTGATGCTCCCACTGATACCAGCTTTTATGTGGTGAATGGGAATTGGCCCTGGAAAACATGAAACTGGCCTGAGACAATTTCCAAGTGAGGAAAGAAAATAGATTTTAGAATTGGTGAGCGTGTTTCATGGTAGACACACCAAAATCAGAAGAAAGTTTTCAAATCAAGAAGTAACTGTTCCTAAGTCCCACTTTCTAGCTTTCATTTGTGTGTGTATTCTAGTCAGAAATTTTAAAGACTTCTTCCTCCAATCTCTAAATTCAGTCATGGGGTTTTGATTTGTGGTCAGAGTTATTTAAAGTAGGGGGAAATGAAAAACTATATGATAAAATAAAATAAGAAATTGAGATGTTAATCAAGACTGACTGATTCCAGCAAAACACTCCACCCCCGATAATTTGATTTAATGAAATCTGCATGTACTTAAAATAGCAATAGAAATTGTTACCATATTTAAACAGTTGTTCAAGGGCATGCAGTCTCAAAAATTACTTCTCTTTTCAGGTATGACTACACTAAAAAAATAGAGGCTTTTAACTACTAACACATTCCATTCCTTCCTGTTTATATTGAAAATGTATTTTCAGTATATACTTAATCACAGAAACGTATTTGTTTAGTACCTCCACAATCTTCTTTTTTCACAGTTGACCACAACTGATTGTCTTTGCCTATCTCCATGTCAGATGCTCATTGGATACAAGGACTAAGAAACTGGGAAAAGTGCACATTAAGATGTTTCTTTAGCAGGGGTGAATGTATTTATGTTCTTGAGATTTAGCAAAGGAAATGCTTTCAGATGCTAATAATTATTCTGCACTCATATATCGTGGTAGAATAATGATCTAGGGCCCCAAACTGTAGAAGTGAATGAAATGGGAGTTTTGTCATTGACTTCAATAGAAAGAGTCTCTTACCAAATCATTGCAAAGTAGGGCTCCATTATATATACCTGGTTTTAGTGGTTTTTGGTTTTTTGTTTTTGTTTTTTTTTTTAATTTAGTTGAGATTGAAGCCATCGAGTTCACTTAATGGTGACGCCACAAGGCCATGTAGAGGCTAGGAGCAATACCTGTGAGGTAGAGAAGTTCAGGCATCTGTAAAGTCTAGCTATGTGCAAAATGAAAATATTTATGGACTATAGTTACTCACGTGGAACAGTGCCTTACTCTGTAAGCAACGCTGTTGATTTCAGAGGGTCTCCCTTCCTAGAAAGTTACCAATTAACATCAATACAAGTGAGCAGAAGCTGTTTCCCTAGCTTAGGTAGAAGAGATGTGATGGAAATGGCTAAGTTATTTGAGTTACACCTCATGTCAATAGTGTGCATCAGCATAAGAATCAGATGCTAATCACTTTCCTCACACTGAAAAATATTTTACTCCCTATCTGCTCTCACTGCATTTCATGTGGAGTAAAACGTCTTTCAGTATGAGTAAATAACACCATAATCTGACCTTTTGTGAACAACTATAAGCAACATTTTCATGGGCA